AATTGATGGATGTTTATGGTTGATGGTTTACAGTGAGTGCTGGGTTGGGGTGGGAGGAAGGATTGGGTGGCGAGTTTGGTATAAGGGAGGAGAAGCAATTGAGTTGTCTTTCTCTTTTCTTTTTTCTGCCCAGATTTTGGTACAAGAGAGGAGAAGCAAGGATTGGGTTGTGACAATGGAGGGTTGTGGATGAATTTCCGAATTTACCCTCATTTTTGACAGAAAATTTAACGGAGTTTGACGGAGGGACTACTGGTGCAACATAGCACCTAGTTGAGTGACCCATGCAACTAATAATTGAATTGAGGGACCAAAGTGTAACTACGGGTATAATTGAGGGACCATTGCTGTGAATAACCCTATTTGGAATGATATTTGTTTTATGAAACGTTTTCAGTATTTTTGTCGGTTGAAGCTGTTACAGTAAGTAGCACCGATCAAAAGCATTGTTCAACTCTTTGTTGCCCTTGCACATGATGAATTAAGTAGGATGATGAGTTGGGTTGTCAAATGAGCTTAAGGCTTTTGATAATGTTATTGAATGATGAAATGAAGCCTAATTAAACTGAGATTGGGCAGTTTGATGCTTATGTGAATGTAGATCAGAGAAGGAGTCATTGAGGATGGGCACTTGCAATAATTTCATGATTCTCTTGCTAACTTGAACAGGTTATTGTGGTACCTTTGCTTGATGGCATGCTGGGAGCAATCATACCCTCTCGTACTTGGTTTGGAGTTCTCATGTCTGCTCTTGGGGTTGCTATGCTGGAATGCAGTGGATCACCTCCAAACACAAAAACATTCTTGATGCTTTTGCGTTGAGAATGTTGTAGAAAAATCTGATTTCATGTAGTGAAAAATGGGACAACATATATGACCATATAGCTCTTCGGCAACTAATGATAATTCTACTTTCCTTTTCAGGTTGGTGATCTTTTGAACTTCTTGAGTGCAATATTTTTTGGAATTCACATGCTTCGAACAGAGCATATTTCAAGAAGCACAAAGAAAGAAAGCTTCTTAGCAATTCTTGGATATGAGGTATGCAAGTCATCATGCCTGCCTCATTTTCTTATTCACATAGCTTTCTAAGTTGTGCACTTGATTAATTCTGTGGTTTATTCAGGTTTGCGTTGTTGCTCTCTTATCCAGAGTCTGGGTTTTCATTGGAGGGAGGTTAGATGGTGCCCGCTATTCGAACCAATCATCATGGTTATGGACATGGACAGAGTTATGGGACTGGATTGTTGCATTTCCATGGATACCTGCACTTTATACTGGTGCATTTTTCAACTGGGTTATGCTTATGGATTGAGGTATAGTTCCTCAGGTCACACTCTACTATTTTTGCACAAACTGAATTTAAGCACTATTTAGATACTTATAATATCCCCTGCACTGCCTGTCCTGCTGATTAGTTCATCCCACAAAATATGTGCCCTATAAATCATCAAGTATTCAGAACCTACCAGGGCATGTTCAACCTTAAAAAATTTGTTCGTCGCAGCAGATTGCACCGATGCGTGATGTTTCAGCGACAGAAACAGCCATAATTTATGGGATGGAGCCACTGTGGGGTGCCGGTTTCGCATGGTTTCTACTTGGTGAAAGGTGGGGTACACTTGGATGGATAGGGGCTGCTCTTGTGCTTGGTAACTAATTTCTCCTTGCTATTGTGATCTCTTCTTATTTCTTAGATCT